AGGCCTCAGGACTCAGCCTGCCTTCAGCATCAGCCTGGCCTCAGCTTCAGCCTCAGCCTGCCTCAGCCTCAGCCTCAGCCTGCTTCAGCCTCAGCCTCAGTCTGCCTTCACCCTCGGCCTCAGCATCAGCCTGCCTCAGCCTCAGCCTGCATCAGCCTCAGCCTCAGCCTCAGCCTGCCTCAGCATCAGCCTGCCTCAGCCTCAGCCTAAGCCTGCCTCAGCCTCAGCCTCAGCCTGCTTCAGCCTCAGCCTCAGTCTGCCTTCAGCCTCGGCCTCAGCTTCAGCCTGCCTCAGCCTCAGCCTGCATCAGCCTCAGCCTCAGCCTCAGCCTGCCTCAGCCTCAGCCTGCCTCAGCCTCAGCCTCAGCCTGCCTCCGCCTCAGCCTCAGCCTGCTTCAGCCTCAGCCTCAGTCTGCCTTCAGCCTCGGCCTCAGCCTCAGCCTGCCTCAGCCTCAGCCTGCATCAGCCTCAGCCTCAGCCTCAGCCTGCCTCAGCATCAGCCTGCCTCAGCCTCAGCCCCAGCCTGCCTCAGCCTCAGCCTCAGCCTGCTTCAGCCTCAGCCTCAGTCTGCCTTCAGCCTCGGCCTCAGCCTCAGCCTGCATCAGCCTCAGCCTCAGCCTCAGCCTGCCTCAGCATCAGCCTGCCTCAGCCTCAGCCTCAGCCTCAGCCTGCTCAGCCTCAGCCTGCTTCAGCCTCAGCCTCAGTCTGCCTTCAGCCTCGGCCTCAGCCTCAGCCTGCCTCAGCCTCAGCCTGCATCAGCCTCAGCCTCAGCCTCAGCCTCAGCCTGCCTCCGCATCAGCCTGCCTCAGCCTCAGCCTCAGCTTGCCTCAGCCTCAGCCTCAGCCTGCCTCAGCCTCAGCCTGCCTCAGCCTCAGCCTCAGCCTGCTTCAGCCTCAGCATCAGTCTGCCTTCAGCCTCGGCCTCAGCCTCAGCCTGCCTCAGCCTCAGCCTGCATCAGCCTCAGCCTCAGCCTCAGCCTGCCTCAGCATCAGCCTGCCTCAGCCTCAGCCTCAGCCTGCCTCAGCCTGCTTCAGCCTCAGCCTCAGTCTGCCTTCAGCCTCGGCCTCAGCATCAGCCTGCCTCAGCCTCAGCCTGCATCAGCCTCAGCCTCAGCCTCAGCCTGCCTCAGCATCAGCCTGCCTCAGCCTCAGCCTCAGCCTGCCTCAGCCCCAGCCTCAGCCTGCTTCAGCCTCAGCCTCAGTCTGCCTTCAGCCTCGGCCTCAGCCTCAGCCTGCCTCAGCCTCAGCATCAGCCTGCCTCAGCATTCAAAATGTGGCCCGGGAATGGAGTTCTGGGAACTCGAAGAACACGAACTGGCCTACAGTTGGCTTCGGGCAGTCAAACTCATGCGCAGGAATGGAGTTCTGGGAACTCGAAGACTACGAAGTGGCCTACAGTTGGCTCCGGGCATTCAAAATGTGGCCCGGGAATGGAGTTCTGGGAACTCGGAGACCACGAACTGGCAGGGCATTCAAAATGTGGCCCGGGAATGGAGTTCTGGGAACTCGAAGAGCACGAAGTGGCCTACAGACAGTTGGCTCCGGGCATTCAGAATGTGGCCCGGGGATGGAGTTCTGGGACCTCGAAGACCACAAAGTGTGTAACTGTTTGCTTAAAACGACTTCCGCGGATTCTCCCCGGATCCTGCCCGGACCCCCCTGGGGAGTCATGATGTTTTCTTTCGAGACCATTAGAAACCTATCAGTCTTCGCTGTTAGGTAGAAATTTTATTGGAATGGCCTTTTTTCGGCGCCGCCTCGGAACTCGATTTTCCGGCGCCGGCCGGAACCGGCTCCGGACCTGGCCCGGGCGCCAGCCCGGGCGCCGGCTCGGGCGTCCGGCCCGGGCGCCGGCTCGGGCGCCGGCGCCTGGGCGTCGGAATCGGCCCGGGAGGCCTCCTGGGCGCCGGAAGAAGAAATTCAGCAGTTTCAAAAGAAAAATGTACATTAGAATTGCCTTTTTCCGGCGCCGCCTCGGAACTCGATTTTCCGGCGCCGGCCGGAACCGGCTCCGGACCCGGCCCGGGCGCCGGCCCGGGCGCCGGCTCGGGCGTGCACCCAGGGCGCCGGCGGAAATGATGCCAGCGCTGCATCGGGAGCACGATTCGGAACGAGCGGGGCCCGAAAATGAGGCCGGCGCCTCAGCGAGAGCAGCATTTTGGAAAAACATGCAGGCGAAAACCCAACTCCGGGGAAGCTTGTGTGTAACAAAAACAGTACTCGGGGGGGGGGGGGCGCGAATATTGCCAAGACGTCATAAGGGGAAGGGGAGAGTAGTTTATATTGAGTGAGTGCTGGAGGTGGAGGAATGAGGCGACGGACGAGAGAGGATGAGGAGGCGGAGGAGGAAGAGGAGGATGTTGAGTAGGAGGAGGAGGAAGGAGGAGGAGAGGAGGGGAGGAGGAGGAGTAGGAGGCAGGAGTAGGAGGGGAGAGGGGGATGAGTAGGAGGAGGAGGAGGAGGAGAAGGAGGAGGAGGAGGAGGAGGAGGCGGACGAAGAGGAGGAGGAGAAGGAGGCTGGGGAGGAGGAGGAGGACGAGGATGAGGATGAGGATGAGGATGATGATGATGATGATGATGATGATGATGATGATGATGATGATGATGAGGAGGATGAGGATGAGGATGAGGATGAGGATGAGGATGAGGACGAGGAGGAGGAGGAGGAGGAGGAATAAAACTAATAATAATAATAATGATAATACTAATAATAATGTTATGAATGCGCTGGAGAAGAGGATTATTTCCAACAGTAAGAAAAGACGAAGACGAACCACACTATTAACAACCGTATTAGTACTATTAATACTAATGCTACGAATACGACTGAAAACATTAATACTAGTGATAGCAGTAATACTAATATTACTAATCGTGATAAACCGTAATACTCATACTAATCGTAAACTGAGAAGAGTAATCTTACGAGTGCGAAGACGACTAATACGAATGAAAACTAATCGAAACACTAATAATCATATTATTCATATTCCCAAACAGAATAAGACGACGACTACTACTGATAACAATAATAATCATAATAATAAGAGGAGGATGAGGCGGAGGAGGAGGATGAGGATGAGGAGCAGGATTGGGAGGATGGTTTGTGCGATGACGGGCAGAGGCAGCCAGACAGGCAGGTACGTAGGCAGCTCGATAAAGACAAACTGACGGACTGGCCCACATTCCAGACTACAATATGCCAACGCAGGAATTGGCACCTGTGCGGAAAGCTTGCGTGCCTTGGCCGGGCTGGAC